CAGCCACATGTGGCAGGATCTGGCCATGGTTGCTCAGGAACACCTGTCCTGTCCACCAACCAGTGTTCTGAGCAAAAGGGTGTTCAGCATTGCTGGAGATGTTGTGACACCCCACTGCACCTCCTTGGATCCTGGTTTGGTGGAGCAGCTGGTGTTCCTGAAACTGAACCTCCTGCTGCTGGGGTTCCCCAAGCTCCACATGCAGACAGAGGGAGTGCCACCCTTCTCACTCCATCCACACCTATTTCCTTTTTATATGTGGTTTGGTTTCACAACATTTAATGCCCTGCTCTCAGAGCTGGAGGCAGCACTCACTATATCACCAGTCATCGGGGAAGAACATCGCCCTGCTCAACTCCCATGCCAGAACAAACTTGGAGATATGGGCAGGGGCTATGTGGAACAAGGAGGCCCCAGGTCCTGAGCATGACCTGAAACTGAACCATGCCAGGGTTGGGAGGCTTGGTGGGACTGCTGGTGGCATGGCAGCCCCCAGGAAATGCCAGGACCTCAAGCCTCCCTGGTGAACGGTGGGTAGGAGGTGCCTTATAACCTCCAGCCACCACATGCACACACAGTCCTGGCTAGGGAAAGTCCAGACCTGTAAGATCTTTGAGAGTCTTGAGGCTTGCTGGTTACAGTGGAGTTGTGAAGCTTCAGGTGAGCTTAGCTGCCTGGGATGCCATCTGTGAGGCATGGGCCGCAGTGTAGGGGAGATACAGAGCTGCAGAACTGATGTCACCCCTAGACATGAGGGGGCTAAATGAGCAGCCTCCTGCCTGGGTAACATCTGAATTGGTTTTCCATCAAGGCATGGCAAGAAAAAGCGGGCGGGTGGTTGGCCCAGAAACAGGTGGGCAGTCCGAGATCTAACCACCACTGGGAAGGCCCCCCGTTACATGCTACCATCCCTGCTGCATTAATTCCTCTCTGCCTTAACACACACAAGGCAGACAAGGTTCTTTGGGTCAATCATATCTTTTAGTAGATCAACTGAGTATTTGGATAAATATATCTTAGCAAGCTTTCGGGCTTAAAAGCCTTTGTTTTCACTTCATCAACCTCCTAGATACAGAAAATCATGAACTAAATATAGACATTGGATTTCCCTGCTGAGCCACACTAGGACACACTATAACCTGCCTGACATTTGACTCCCCAGGTACCCGTTCACTTTTACCTGCTACATCCCCATTCCTCCCCGCTCCAAGCCCATCTCTCACCCCCTGATGCCTCAATTTACATTTTCACTGACTGGCCTTCTTGCCTGCATCCCATCCTCTGGCATCTTTACTATTTCTTCCATCAAGGAAGAGCAGACACACCAACTGCAGATGCTCTCTCAGCCCAACGAAGGGTTTTTAAACCCGAAAGCTTGCTAAAATATATTTCTCCAACTACTCAGTTGGTCTAATAAAAGATATCATTTTGACCCAAAGAACCTTGTCTGCCTATGTCCTTAGACCAACACGGCTACAACCTACAGACACCCCTTAACACATACAAGTGTCATGAGTTTTGCTTTGAACAGTTTGCGGTGCAGTTTCCCAGAAGCCCCTGCACCTACCTCCTTGAAACCTGGCAGACTTCATGCCCTCATAAGGGGCTACCATTCCTGCCTTTTTCATCTGAATCAGCAAGAAAATGACAAAGTTATAGGTATTTTAGTGATTCCACATTATAGTTTATGACCGGATCTCCAAATCAGTGTCGAAATTCTGAAATAGATTCAGCCGAATTGAATTGGGACAGTGATCTGAAACAGCAAATCGAATTACTGTCCCTCCAAAATGGCTGAATCCAAATTGGAATTGAAACAGAGCCATTTCGCAGAGCCCTAATGTGTATAGGTGCCCATATGACCTCAGATGATCCCACAATCTAGAAGGAGCAGCCTTGTCTTGAGGAGTTTACTTACCTAAGCAACTCCTTTCATAACTCTAGTGACCACACCTCTGCTATAATGACTCAGGTAGATAAGATATGCACTCATTTACAGAAGCTCACTCTTATAGGGCGGTCTAGCACCATCAGAGTCAGAATGAAAGTACTACTCTTTAGTAACAATATACAAACATACATTTGTAGTAGCTTCAAAAGGGAAGGAAGAGCTGATATGCAGCAACTGCTAGGCTGTAACTGTGGTTTGTGTGCGAGTCTGTAGCATTACCATGCAAAACCACTTCCACTTTAACCCTGCTTCATCCAGGGGGTAGTTTAGGGAGATTTATCCCTTCTGAAGCCTCCACGAGTGTACATTTGTCCATAGCCTAAGTATACCCCTGCATGTGTCAGAGGCATGGAAGAGCAACAAGTCTATCCAGTGAAAACTAAACAGATTTCAGTGAGGATGCCTGTGCCTCTGGATATCCAGAGTAGAATGGTCAGAAAAAATTCAAAAATTGTGAGATCTGAGAGCAGACACTAAGACTACAGGTAAGAGGTTGGAGTTATCTTGACCATATTTTCAGACTCCCTAGGCAAGTCCTGTTTTGGCAACCCCAAAGCAAGAGACAGGCTGACCCAGAGAGACCCTTCATAGCACCAAAGCAAATGAAATATCAACAGTAAAAATCAACAACTTGATTAAATCTTAAAAGGCTGGGCCCTGATTTGTGACAATTGACCTCCGTCTTCAGTAAGAATTGTACTGGATTAGTTGGATGGATTGATTAAAATAGGTTACACCACTGAGATCCGTGGAATACCATGAACATATAACTGGGTTCTACAATGGTGAACCAGGACCTATATCTACAAAGATTAAGATTCTAGCTCTGTAACAGCTGTCAAGATTGATTTAGTACTACTAATAAACATAGCTGAAGAGGGTGATCATCTCTGTGTGGGTGAAGTATCTGACGATCACAGCCCACTAGTTGAAAACAGTGAATATCATATGTTGTATCAAATACATAGATAGGCAAAGTTAGAAAAAGTTTATAAGTGGGTGTCACGGTGGGGTCCCTCAGGAGGGCCATGATCTCCCTGAGGTCCCTCTCACCGTGTCAAGTCCGGCCCAGGGGCCCCCTCTTATTCTCGCCCGCCACGTCTTTGATGTTCAGTAAGTTCAGGAGGCTGCCTTACACCTCCTTGGGCACGGCTAATTGGGACCTCCGTCCCCGTGTTCTCCTGGACCCCCCGGGGTCTCCCTGTACGACGGGTGCTCCGCAGGCACCCTAGCCTTAGGGCCACGTGTGGCTCCTACCAACCCCTAATACCACGCCCCAAGCTTCACAGATGTTCTGGACGTTGTCCTGTTGCAAATCAACTCACCCGCTCCCTCGGGCCCACTCCATACGCTCTATGGACGTGCCCCCTCCTGGGCTCGCTCTCTCTCTCTGTGCCCACTCTGGGCTGCCTCTAGTATACTGCCCCTCTCTTGGGGCTCTTGAGGCCGACTTTAGGCCTTCTCTAAAGTGTCATCCCTTTCAGGGACCCTTATCCACTCTGGGACTTCGTATCGAGCCCTACGGTCTCCTAGGCCCACCGCACTGCTAACCTCCCTCCTCCAGGCACACCGTGCTGCTATCCCCTTTTGCCGGGGACCACCGCCGTACTTTGCCCTTCTCCTGGGCTCTGTGCTGCTAACTCCTTTCGTCGGGGTCCACCGCAGCACCCTGCCCCTGTCTGAGATCTATTGCAGCACTGGCCTACTACCCGGGCTTGCTACGCCCATCCTGGGCTTCTCAATAGTCCCCCTTCTCTGGGACTTGCTGTGCCCACGCTAGGGCTCCTCAACAATACTGCCCCCTCTCTGGGGCTTGCTACATCCACTCTTGGGCTCCTAATAATACAGCCCCTCTCTGGGGCTTGCTGCATCCCCCCCTTGGGCGCCGGGGTCCTCACGCTCCACCGTGAGGCCCCTTTAAGGATACTGTGCCCTCACTAGCACCAGGGTTCCCACACCACTTGGGTTCCCTCTGCAAATACTGCGCCCTCGCTGGCACTAGGGCCCCACACCCCTGTGGGTCCCTTGGGGTTCAGCCACTCCTCTCTGCACTTAACTGACCCCACCACTCTGCCCTGCAACTCTCAGGGCCTAGTGCGCCCTCACTGGTGCCAGGGTCCCCACTTTACCATGAGCCCCCTATGAGGCCTCCTCCAACCCCTATAGCCTCACCCAAACCACCGGTTTAATAAACAACCACAACCAAACACAAGCCTCTTGGCCACAACTTAACTCAACGTCACCTGGCTAAACCATGGTGCTCAAACCTCTTCGAGCTGCCCTCCTTCACTCAGCTAGAGTGGCTCCTACAGTGCTTGCCTCCTAGCTTCAGGAGCTCCTACCTCTGTGGCTGCTGGCAGGGAACTGCCAACCTGGCTTCCGCCCTGGGTTTTATAAGGGCTAGGCCCTGCCCCCTTCTGGCCAGCTGGCTCTCCTTAGTTGCCCCGGCAACCCGCAGCTGTGCTCATTATTGTCCTGCCAGGGCTCTCTCCCTGGCAGTTTCTCCTCTCTAGGAGCAGGAGCACCGAGGTGCCCTGCGACAGTGGGGAATATAAATAATTATTGCCATGTAACATAAATTCCCCGGAGGATAAAGACTAAGTATATTTGGTCTGGAAAAGACCAAAAATTATACAGAGAAGGCCATTTGTGTTTTCTATTCTTTGTAAAATAAAAGGTCTATGCTATGAAAAAGAAAGGCAGCCAATTTGATACAAAGAAGTACTTTTTAATTGAATTGGTAATTAACCTTTAGAACTCCCTGATGCAGGGTATTATTGATGAATTCACTTTGTAGCATTCAAGGCAGGGTTAGAGAAATGAAAGCATGCCATAGTGCTTTGACTATGATACCCTTAATTTAAGAAATATCCAGATTTTGTGACCCTCAATTTAAGAAAAAACAAAGCATCAAATAAAGACGTATCTACGCTGCATATAAGAGCTTTCTGCTTCTTTTTTTACCTCAAAATTTAACATGCAGGCCATTAATAGAAGAAATATTTTGTTTTTAAGTGTGCCATATTTAAAAGAATACAGTAAAAGCACCATCTGCAGGTACAATAGCTAAAATTTAAATTAGAATGTGTTATGGCATAAATGG